TCTACCATATGGCAAACAAGCCAAATTAGCATAGGGCTGTTTAAATATTTGTGGAAAATAAAGATGCGCAAATGTTTGCATTGTATAGGCCTTTTCCAACTACATGTTTTGGAATGTTGGTTGTTTTATAAGTATTTTTAATTTTCATTCAGTTCACCTCTAATCAGAGCCTTTTGGAAGAGCTAAGGTCTAACTATTAGCACTGGGGTAGAACAAGCCTTTTCTAAGGCAGCTCTGAGACTTTGGAATAATCTCCAAGCTTACTCCATTTTACTCGTTGTAAAGCCCTTCATTTCAGCCTGATGGATAAGGCCACAATACATTATATACATAATTACATTATACATTAGAAATGTATAACTGTCATTACTAAATCTCACTTATCTGGAATGTTATGTAGGAAATACCTATGAGGATCTTCTCAGGGGGCTAAGCTACCTTATGGAGATTACCACTGAAAATCAGCCTTGACACACGAAGAAAACACTTGCACAGACCAAGGTATTCCTACTATCTCGTTTGTAGTCTCGCTTTGAAGTCGGGAAACATGAAAGTTCACAGCTGACATCATAGCATTCCTTAAGTCTCTGTGGTAATGTTTTTGGATGGGGGACAAGTCTCTCAGAGTGCTCATAAACCTAGCAACCTGAATGTGAGCTCATAATTGTGGTCAGGGGATGGACATGCAATCACTCTCTGCTGCAGTCCACTGGAAGCGACCTGTCTGACTCCCATCACTGGATCAATCAGCTCATACCATGGTGGAAGAACACCATGTCATCCCCAATAGCTTCTCTTCAACCTGAGCCACAGATCAAGGTCAGGTATGTAATTGATCATGATTGACCTGCTTGCATATTCTGTGCATGAGTAATAGTAGCAATATAACAGGAGATAGGCCTCATTTAACTGGAGGAGGGAGCAGCAATAAAAGCACTGGAAGGTCAACTCCTTTATAGGGTTTTGGCTGAATTTGAGTCAGCGGCGCAAGTTGCTGATTAGAGCAGAGGGTAGCAAGAAAAGTTCTCTAGCCATTGGAACAAGACAGGCTCCAGTGGTCAGGAGAGAGAGATGGCTATTGTAAGCTGCTATGGGACGCAGGGTAAATATTTAGCCTGGAGAAGGAGGGGTAATAAATTCTGAAAGCTTTAACCCAATCATTTGAGGCATGCTGCTTTGTGCAGCACAGAGGTGGGATGATGGGAGGCTGGGGAAGAGGTGGGAGTCTTTATGAAGAACCAGGAAGCACACACTCATACCAGGAAAAAGAACCAGTTAGAGAGAGAAAGGAAACAAATTAAGCTAAAGTCGCTGTGTCTTTTGAGGATGAAGTTGGCCGTTGAAGCAATTATCATGTAGCCTACTTCCCATTTGACTTAATCTGGATAAGCCCTTCTTTCCAATCAAGCTGTTCCAACTCACTAACCACAGCTTGATTGTTGCCATCTCAATCCTCACAGGATGTGACCGAATTATTCAACTTTGTTCACATACTGCACAGGGTTTGACAAATTACAAATATAGAAAGAAGCAGCCAAAAAAACAAAACAACTATCTTGTAGAAACCAGCTGAGGGGTCTGCACTTCAGCACATGTGGCCCTTTATACCCTTGACAGTGGCTTGTAATAAGAAAGAATAAATATATGACCATAAGAAAATAAAGGCATTAGAATATGGTGGTTTTACACCACTCTGTTTTAAGGTTAAGAGTTTATTTTCATTTTCCTGGCATTGTTTAATAGGCGTTTTTTTTTTCTTTTCTTTTTTTTTTCAGATAAAGTATTCATATTTCTATTGTTTTAAGCCTTAAAACAAAATCTAAAACATTTTTAAACTAAGAGTAAAGCAGCTTTTGCATTTCCAAAATGGAGCACTACCTAATTGCACTATGTAAGTTTTAGAAAATTACCTTAAAGCAGCGAGAGATAATGTTTGTCGCCCTCTGACATTTTCTTTTTTGAGTTGGACAACTTTTTTATTTAATTATATAAATTCCACTACTATCCCCTCTATGTTTACTATGTGAATACTGTTCTTATTTTTCAATATAATGTATTGTTTCCATGAAGCTGTTAAAAATGGAACATATTACTACACTGGATTTGAAGCATTAACAAATTGTGAGCATATCAACTTAATCTTTCCAAGAGAAAATACAATTTTCTCTTATTAAATTATTTAAATACAATGACTCAAAACACGAAGAAAACTCTCACAGGAAACAGCAGCTTGAAGTATTCCTTAGCTGACCAAGCATTAACCCACAGGCTTATATATAGCCATATTGGTGAAACGTGGAGGTGGTGCATTCTCAAGCCTGAAATAGAATTCCTTTTATCCCCTGTGAAGATCTAAGAAATTAACTAAAAGTAAAGCCTGCAAGACAAATGACGGTTAAGCTTCCTCAAAGCCAAAATCAACTCATACCTAAACAATGATAATCGTGAAGAAAAGTAATGCACGCTTTGATCAGATAATTGTCTAATTAACTAATTGTGGAAAATGTGCTGATGGAAACTGTAATCAGGCCTCCCAGCAGTTTTTACGCAACCCAAGTCGGCCATGAAAAGGCAGTTGTTACGTTTACGTCATGGGCTATTTTAAGTCATACTAATAGTATAACACATCCTACAGATGTTAGAAAGAATAGGAATTTTGCTGGGAAACAGAATTCTCATTTAAAACTTGCCTAGAAAAAAAAGTTGCTGATTTTAAACTGCAATACGTGTTCCTTAGAGTGCCTTATTTAACATCTCCAGATTACACAAAAAATTCAGCGCTACATGAATTTGCAGCACTTCAGTGCCACTTCGGTCTGGGTAGTGACCGGACCATAGGTTTTCTGCATCGTCACCACAATGCCTACAACGAATTTGTCACTCAGTTCTGCACTTCAATTCTAGATGTTCAGGATTATGCAAAGTTTGTTCAACAACTGATGTCCTAGATGGAAACTGTAGTCACCTTTCCCTTTGGAGGCAATGCATTAATGAAGATTTCCTGTGCTTTTTTGAGAAAAAGTGAGACGTATAAAGCAATGCATAATTGTGTTGCCGCAAATTGATAGAAATTTTCCCAGACTCAGGTTTTTGCTCCACTATAAACACCAGACAGCACCCACCAAAAGTCAAAATAACCATGACAATGGTGCCATCAAGCTATAACAGTGAGCGTTGTAAGGACACCTTAGAGACATTGTTTATAGCAAATAAAAAACTCATTGAATGACATTAGCAACTTCCTAAAGAACCCACTTGGTTCCTTTGTGCCGCTCTATGACTATCTAAACAACATAATGTCCCATCCATCATCATCTACCAGCAGGTCAGCAGGATCTGAGTAGACGTGGTGAAGTCTTCCAAAAGAGCCAAGCCTGCCATCCTTGCACAATTACTCAAGCCTTTACTCAGCTATTTATTGCCACCATTGTCTGCACCAGTGGCGACTGGCCAATGGAGGGCGCAAGGGCGCTGCCCCAATCTCCAAATGAACTTGATCAAAACATAAAAAAATTAAGCAATAAAATTTAATTATTTCGAAATATATAGAATTTTTTTTTTTTGATGTGCAAGATAAATATATGATCTTTAATGACAAGTGAAGCTGTTCATCAGTTTGGTGACGTATTTCCGCCCTGGGGCGCAATAATCTTTGCCTATAGACTCTTGCTAAAAGTTGTACATGCACCGTAGCTCCTCTTTAATGCTAAAGATAGGAATATCCTGGGGCGCAGCTCTCCTGAGCTCATAGCTGAAAGCAACTTTATTTACACACTGCCTACCATCACAGCTCTGACGTCACAGTCGTCTGTTATAAACTGCAGCTGATTGGCAAGTTTATATAATTAATGAGGAAAAAGGCTTGGCTAACTGTATGCAGCGGGGCTAACGCTTTATTCTGCTTTTCCTGCCTCCTTTTCCAAAAGCCAGCAACTGACCCAGCATGGATTAAGACAGGTAGGACTGATTTAAAGCACTTTTCAGAAAATTTTATCTTTTTTTTTTATTTTTTGTTTTTTTGGCATTTATGTAAATATACTGGTGTGATAACTTAGTATACATTTGAATGGTTTCTGGTATAAGTCTATTTTGATGTTATACTTGCCACCATCGGTCTGCACCTTGCTACCCTGGTTAATCCTCACATCTGACTTGTTTGAACGTAATCTGCTGATTCACCACCTCTTTTCTGTTAGAATTAAAGTGGATTAACAGCTAGCATCCGAATGAGGATGTTTCCATCATTTCTGTAGCTGTGCAATGGTGCTGTATGAGGCTATATGCAATTCAGTTTTATCGTTCAGGTTTAAATACTAGAAAATTAAAACCTATGGTAAACAAAGCAAAGCAAAATCTCATTTTATTGGATTACTTTAAGTACTTTGAAGCTTGCAAATAAGCTTGACTGAAAAAGTTAGCTCAACTGCACCAAACTCTTTCTGCAGGTGAAATGCACACTTTCCCTGAACGTTTGTCTTTATACATCCAGAGTTGTGCGTAACGCATAGTACTGCAGATTTTTCAAGCATAGATACTATTCTGTTTACCATCTGTAACCAAATCAATAAACAGATACAGTAAAGATGATTTTCACTTATTTGGTAAATCATGATTCCTGTCACCTGTATCTCCAACACTGTTGTCATAGTGGTACCCAAAGGGGGATGGGACAGCTGTGTTCAAACCCTTTTATGTTTAATATGACAAAATGACCCCTTGGTGGTGCTAGCTACACAAAGAAAGTCTACTCTCCCTGGATTTTAATTAACAGTTATCTTACCGTTTAGGTAAAGTCATAAATAAGAGCCATAGAGGTCCAGCTTAGGAGGGTTTCAAGATGTTGAGAACACTCAGAGTTAAACTGAGTCCTTGACAGTTATAGAGTTAAAGGTGGTTATACTGAATTATTCATAGCTTGTGTTTGGTTAACCTCTTTGGCATATGACTGGATTATCAATCTCTGACAAGTTGTGGTGTTTTTGATGACTTTCAACACTTACGCTCATGTTTCGATCCCAGATCTGGATGGTGCCATCTTGGCAACCTGCTGCAATGAGCTTCCCGTCGCGGCTGTAAGTGCAGCAGGTGGGGACGACCTTCTTCCCCTGCTGGGAGCGAGGTTTGAACACCGACTTGTGCTTCTTTTCTGAGTTCACGTCCCAAGTGCGTACAGTGCTGAAAGCAGAAACAAACGGTTATACTTAAAAATATATATTTGTTTAGGCTCAGGATGTGCTTGATTATAGAGCCTCTTGTCTTTACCTTAAAAATAAAATGAATAAACACGGCTTGCAAAACAGCATAACTGCCATGACAAACATGTTTATAGGTCCTGTAAAATCTGAATAACCTATATTTTTTATTTTAGTCCAAAATGTTTTATAGGAACCACTAATGGCTGCAGACTTATAAATAAAAGTTTAAAAATTTAAATAGACACAATTAGAGCAGTACCAGTACCAAATATTTATCTAAATACTCCATGCTTTCCATAAAAGTACAAAAATCTATTTTTGAGCAACAGCTAAAGGTCGTTCCAAGAAAGCTAAGGAGGAAGATGTTTCTGCATTGCTAAACATTTCACCTTTAACCTTTGAGCCATAACCTTTGGTTAGAATAATTTGCTTTTCACGCCAGCATACAACCCACGTTTATTTCTATTCTAAAGTTTATTTCTATTATTTTGCATTTGCAGAAATAAATGCAGCACATCTCGGAATCACTTGGTAAAGGTGTGCAAAAGACCTTAAAAGAATCTATTTGTTATTGCAGTCGGTAGCATTCGAACTTTGAACTCCAGGAAAAACCGTAACTCATAGTTCAACAAAATATTTAGAGCCACAGTTTGCCACAGCCAACTAGTTCTGTAAAATAAGCTTCACTGAAGCTTTTTTTTTTAAATGTATGCTATACTTAAGCTGTTGATATTAATAGAAAACTTTTAAGTAGTAATCTATGAATACCTGCTATGTTGGTTATAATTATGGTGGGACACAAAGGGCGATTAGCCAAACCTCTAAAGATGAAAGTCTACAAAACTTATAATTCAAGTAAGGCAGATAAGAGAACATCTTTACAGAGATACAGGAATAAAGCCTCTTAACTTAAGGGAACGCAGATGTCAACAGGTGAACAAAAAGATTTAAAAAAAAAAAGGGGGATTTAGCATATTTACCCCCGGATCAAGCAGGTTTAACTATAAATGTGACAACCTTTGCATGGTTGTTAAAAAGTTTCTCTCAAAAACACTTTGGGGACAACGTAAGGTAAGGAGGAGAAATCTCAAATTCAGATTAGGCTGCAATAAAAGTCTGCCTGAGACACACACAAAACAAAATCTGTTCCTCTCCAAATTTTTCCAAATCTGACAAGTAATACCTGCATCAACACCTGGAACATGCTGTCTATTTATTGCTGAACTGATAACTCTGCAGTCTGGGTAATTATTTATCTTTTTGCCTCATTCAATCAACCTAAACTAAGACTGACGGCAGAATAGCAGATGTAAAGTATCCAGATATAGAAAAAAAGATAGATGATGCCACACATGACTTAAGTTAAAGAAACTTAACCCCTGACATTCATATATCAAAACACGCGTACTACACATACATGTTTAGCCGACCCCTCATACAAGCACACGTATTCACACAGCATGCCAGAGTACATCTAAATGTGTCTGTGACCCGCAGCTCACCTTAGTGAACATCTTACCTCTTTGGGTCGTGGGGTCAGAAGCAGAGTATAAACACACATGGAGCTGCTAGGAAAAGCCAGGCTAGGATTCCTCTATGGCAGGTTACAAAGTCACACACACTCAGCTGTGTTTGGTTAAGCCTAATAACGTGATACAACTGTCAGCTAGGACATATGGATTGAGTGAGAACTGTCGAGGGTTAAAAAAGAAAAATCTTATTATCATCATTATCTATACAATCCTGAGTTCCTATTTAGAATAATCTGCTAAAAGTGGTGGTGTGGTCATTACTTTTTCCGTTATCTGTTATTACGCCGGTGGATTTATAGGGAAACACCAATAATAGCCATGGTGTGGATGACAAATTGGTCCACCTGCTGCATCACACATACATCTCTATTGTGTTTACAGAAGGCCATAGGCCAATAAAGCAATATTACCTCCAGAGCCGCACACAGAACCTGGAATGCTATTTATCACAAAGACTCTTTTCAAAAAAAAACACGGCACTGCAGGCTGTCAGAGGGACAGCGCAGAGATCTGGGTGAAGACTGCAAACCCTAACCTGTCACCACTAAGACACTAAGTGAGGGATGGAAAAAGGAAAGTGTTTGTGCCAATATGTGAAACGGCTTATTAAAATGTATGCTCTATTAAAATATCACCAAAAAAAAAAAAAATACAAAGTTAGAAATAAAGTTAAATGGTTAGAAGTCAAACTTTACAGAACTGGAAATGTGGAATCATATTTAGACAAAAAAAAAGAAAATTTTTTGCCACAGAATGCATGGGCCATTATGAAACAAATAATCATCATATTTACACAAAACATCTTAAAGTATAAAGCATAATTGAAAGACAGCAAATAATCAAACATTTGATAAAAGAAAAAGATCAATTATAACACCTTTGATAAATTTATCGCACATTTTCAACAGGTAGTTCTGCAGAATATGGCATATTTTAGCTCCTCCTGCTTGAAGAGTGAAATAAGTTTCCTGAGCCAATATTAGCTGAGTAATTAGTCAGCAGCTAATTACCGGTAATCCAAGATTACACATCGAAACAATATGATATGTGTGTGTGTTTAAGATAGGGCTGGACAATATTTTAATATCAATATATAAAGCTGTGAAATGACTCTACATCACAGTGATTACAGCATTTTTCAGTTTTATATTTTAGTTTTAAATATTTCCTAACTGTTTTGTGGGAGGAGTTTTACAAACATGTCAAAATAACTGTAATAAGTTGGTACAGGGATCTGTTTTAGAAATTCTTGGCAGTCTTAGCGGCTTTTTTTTCAAATTGACATTGAAATTATAATGTATGGACAAAATTTAGGAAATACAATATGATAAACATTTTGGCCATATTATTCAACCCTAATATATTAGATTGATAGACAGATATGTAAATAAGAAAATCCAAAATGTTTATACTACTTGCAGTCAACTCCAACATTGTTAAGTGAAAAAATGACTTTAAAGTATTGCTTCCCACATCTAGTTTAATTGCAAAACAAAAAGATTAGCAAAATAAAATAAAATATCCATCGAATCATAATGAGAAAGTTTTATATTTTTATTTACCACTCTTAACTTTATATTTAACATCTTCCTACACCCCAGTGTTACTATGTGAAATATAAAACTAAGCTCTACTTTTACTATGCAATACTATAATCTTTATTATTCTTTTGCGGCGTCCTTCCTCTTATAGTGTTTTCCCTTCAATCAGCAGCACCCCTTTCTCTGTACAGACGCACCACAGACAGAGGGGTGAATGTAACAAAATGAGACCCATACAACCCCAGTCATGCATGAACACTTTACGAGGTAGCACCTTCGTTCACACATCGACTGAGGAGTGACGGCTCCCTGGGCCGGAGAGTTTATCTGTCCATCAGGTTCCAGGCACCACAGGGGTGATGGTTGCTAGGGTTTCTTTCACAGATGACGAGATAAGGAAAAGAGGGATACGCGTCCTCCATGAGGGTGTTTACTGGTTGAATTCCAGTGATAGCTGGTTGACTGATTAACTGGGACTGTGTTATGAGAAGGGGGGATTAAGAAAGGAAAGATGCACTATTTTCCTTCACAGTCAAAGAAGATAAAGCAGGGAAATAACAGACGGTTTAGGGGGAGGGACACTCAGAATTGCACTCAAGCAAAGAAGCAAGAGGAAACAATGTGGCTCAAGCACAGATGGACTGTGGAAACAGGGAGATGAAAGTTCAATTCATTTAACAACATTGTCTGGCTTTAAGCAGCTGAATTTTAGAGCTTTTTCTCTTGGATTGAGTCACAACACCAGCTAGATTTAATCAAGTTACTGTGCCATAGGATGACTTCACAGTAACAAGGAAAACAAACAAATACTGTGTTCACAGTTCACACAGAAAAGGACATACAAGTTAATGTCAATCAAATATTCAGTCATGGCTACAGATTAGACAAAAAGGACAAATGTTCTCATTTAGGGCATAATATGTGCATTCTTGTGCAGGATATGGAACACTTGCACTGTAAGGTGGGAAGATTTGAATATGAACTGGACTGTGAATGAACCCGATGTGTCCAACGGGGTGAATCGCCTCGACATGTTCACAACCTCAGTGTTCATCCCCGATTTTCTCGTGCAGATAACCCACTTAACAACCGATGCCCACATCAAGAAACGGGCTTTCATCTGTGCTATTTTAGAAAAAAAATGTCTAAAGTAAATCTTAAACTTCCCAAGCTACGTAATTAGACACAAGAACAACTTTTTATATTTGTAAATTACTAAGAGGAAACCATCACGCTGCGCTCAATGGTTTGCAGCAAGAATTCCAAGTCCAGCTGCAGCCTTGGCAGACGGCCAGCATGAAGGGAATCCCTGGCATTCAAACGTCCTGCAAACATTCCTCAATGTGTGTCGTTTTGTTAGTACCCATGCTTAAGTGTGCCTCATGATACAAAAAGAAAAACAAAAAACAGCAACATGTGGGCCCAATTAGATAGTCGCCATTTGTCCTATTCTAAGCTCAGCTGGCTGAAATTTCAGTTGCAAAAGAAGAGAGCAAAACACCATTCCTACGATTCTCCGAGGACTTACAAAACGATATTCATCAAAACAAATACTTTGAAACTGTTTCCATAAAAACACAGATCTGTTTAGGATTGGACATACTCTGTTGTAAGTAAAAAATATAACAGAAATTTTATGAATGCAATTTAAATCTTTGCAGAAATGATCTTCAAGTCCAAGTTAGAAATTAGTTGGTTTTTTTTAAGCTACATTCAGTTTATCCACACCTTTTCACAAGACGTTGCATGTTCCCTACACGTTTTGATAATAAAAAAAGAAAGTTTTGACATCAGTTTTTCAGCCTTACAGCAAATAGTCTGTTAGATCTGGGTTGGTACAAAACCCTTCTTGGATCAACTGAGTATTTGTCAGAAAACATTGAGCCATTTAAAACTTCCAAATGGGAAAAGTTGACAT